GTAGCTTTCCTCCCTCCCTCCCTCCCTCCATCCTGCCCTTCCTTCCTTCCTTCCTTCCTTCCTTCCTTCCTTCCTTCCTTCCTGTTGAATAATGCTTTTTAAATAGTTAGAGGATTGGAGGTAAGATATGAGAAGAGGTAAAGGTGGTGGGAGATATACGTAACTAACGAAAACTAGGCATATGTACATTGTGATTTTTTTAAACCACCTTCTAATATGTGAGTTAGCCACCTATGTCTTCTTAATTGATCAACTCCATTAGAAAAGGGGTGTCATTGCCAATTTTGTTTACTTTGTCCCCATTCTCCCACAGACTCTCCACACATTTTTTTTACAAACCTATTGATCTATAATTGAAATACAGTAAACAGCACATATTTAACAGCATATAATTTGGTAAGTTTTGACATATGTATATATGCCTGTGGAACCATCACCACAATCAAGTTAATGAACTTGTTTTCTTGTGCCCCTGAGGACTGTGATTTGCTTTCTGTCACTTTTGATCAACTCACATTTTCTATAATATTATTATGTAATTGAAATAATACAATATGTACTGTTTTTTTGTTGTTCATTTTCATTTATTCATTCCTTTTCCCCCCAGTTTTATTGAGATATAACTCACACATAACATTGTAGTAGTTTAAGGTGTACAATATGACGACTTGATGTATGTACACATGGCAAAACGATCACCACAATAAGTTTAGTTAACACTCATCACAACATATAGTTACAATTTTACTTTCTTGTGATGAGAACTTTTAAGATCCACTGCATCAGCGAATTTCAAATATACAGGACAATATTGTCAGCTGTAGACCCAGGCTGTATATTAGATGATCCCCACAACTTATTCGTCTTATAACTGGAAGTTAGTACCTTTTGACCACCTTCACCCATTTCTCCTACCCCCAAACCCCCACCTCTAGCAACCGCCAATCTGTTCTCTGGGGAGACTTTATTGTTACCTCTGTTTTACAGATGAGAAAACTGAGTTATAGAGAGTTTAATATAACCAAGATCACACAAATAATAGTTCAAATGAGACTATAACCAGGACTTCCAAAATCCAGTGATTTGTTGTGAAGAGCTGGAGGTCTGCAGTAAAGGTTGAGCCTGGCAGCTGGCAAGCTGCCAGGCTCTCAGGCCAGGGTGAGCAGCGTGGGAAGGTTGCTAGATAGATCTCATTCTCCACTTTGCCACTGAAGAAAGAATAAGCCTATGTCACAGACAACCTTGAAAGTTACAGAATGAACTGCCAGCCTGTTAGCAGTTTCTACTTGCTTTACTTTGTCTAGCTTTGGGGACATTTGCTTCCCCATTTCCTCAAGCTCCCGAAACTCCTTACCTAAGGAAAAGTACTTTTGCTATAAAAGCTACACAGCTTTTATAATAATAATAATAAATGGGGCCATTCTCTGTTATCAGCGGGCAGTGGACCTCCTGAGCCCAACTTTTGTCTCTGTGTCTTTCTTTTCTAATCTCCTCATCCAGTCCACTCAGGTTAACCTTCTAGGTGCCTGGCTGACAAGTCAGGTGGCCACGATAGATGAGCAGGCCTCATCAATTCGTTTCTTAGCCCTTGAACTATTTTATTTTGGAATGTTAACTTGAATGAATCCATCCATTTCTCTACTAGTTCTAAGCCAAATATCCTCTTGAATTCTTCCAAAACTGAAATCAGAATATATATATATATATACATATATATGTATATATATATATATTCTGTATATGTGTGTATATATATATATATATATATATATATGTATAGTCACAAAACTGAAGATAAGCTGTCTGCAGTTAAATCTTATAAATTAGTACATTTAAAAATCATTAACCTTGTGGTTAACATAGTACCTTGTTTTTATTTTAAAAACTTAAAATACATGTTGGCTATATTATTTTACATTGGTTTTTGTTATGTGTTAAATTGTGTGTCCCCGCCCCCACCCCCTGCAACTCGAGTCCATATGTCAAAAAATCCTAGTCCTCATACCTAGAATATAACCTTACTTGGAAATAGGGATGTCCTACTGGAATAGGTGGGCCCCTAATCCTTATTCTAACTACTAGTGTCCCTACAGTGAGGGGAAGTTTGGACACAGACACTGTTATGGACTGAGTGGTGTTCCCCTGTGATTCATATGTTGAAGCCCTCATCCTTAACCAATGTGACTATGTTTGGATATAGGGCCTTTAAAGAGGTAATTAAGGTTAAATAATATCCTAAGGGTAGGGCCCTAAGCCAATAGGACCGATATCCTTATAAGAGGAAGAGACACCAGGAGTGTGATCACAGAGACAGCGCCCCATGAGGACACAGCAGGAAGCTGGCTATTCAAAGCCAAGGGGAGTGAAACCAAACTTGCTGACATCTTGCTTGATCTCTGACTTTCAGCCTCCGGACCTGTGAGAAAAGAAATTGCTGTTGTTTAAGCCATCCAGTCTATGGTGTCTCTTCCTCAGTCCTGCTGAGACAGAATAAATCAAGGACTTAGAAGTTCAAAGAGCTGTGCAGTTTCTGAAAGAGAGAGATTCCCACCCAGGGAATGAGGAAACAGAGCAGTGGCCGATGTTGAACACAGTCACGGTTTTCTTTGCTAGCTAGCATACTCTTGGGACTCAGAATCCAGAACACTGGGCTTCTTCTGAAAATCTGTTTTATTTGTATCTTGCAGACGCCAAAGGTTAGTTAGTGATTGTGTCTTCTTCTACAAGGACGAAATATATGGCTCATATCTTCCAAGAGTGCATGCGGTCATGTCTGTGGGCTGTGCTTACCCATCTTCACCATTTTTTATTCTCTCTCTCTCCTTTATCCCAACTCATTCACAATTCTCTTTAATCTTTCATATTATATCCACTGTGGAAAGAAGAGAGGACAAACCAGTGGACAAATAAATAAAAATATGAGCATTATCTTGACCTGCCTGGCCAGGATTTCAAATTCTGTCAGCTGTAGATGCACTGGAGTCCCCAGCTGCTAGGCTCACTGCAGAATTTGTCTTTAGGTGTAGACAGCCTAGCCACCACGACAGCCCTCCTTTATTCTATGACAAGCCATCTTATACTGAATCAAAGGTGTCTTGGCAGTAGGATACTAGCAGAGTGCTTTACTCAAGTTAGTAATTAAGGTGTCTCTACCTCTCCCACTCCACCAGCACCACCATTCTTTTCCTTCTCCTTCCCCTTCTCTTCCCCCTCCTTTAAAAAACAAATAAACATGTCGGCATGGCCAGTTAGGTCAGGTGGTTAGAGCAAAGTGTTCATAACACCAAGGTTGCCAGTTTGATCTCCGCGTGGGCCACGGAGCTGCGCCCACCACAACTACATTAAAGACAACTACTTGACTTGGAGCTTATGGGTCCTAGGAAAACACACCGTTCCCCAATATAATTAAAAAAAAAACTTCATGAGACTCTGTATTTGAATAGAACTCTGAATACCATGGCTATAGGAACATGCTGATATTCTCTGTGTGGCATTCTGATCTCTGATTACCCTGGTCAGAACTCATTGTTCCTAAGATTTGTTCCTGTATTGATTTTTTTCCTGTATTACTTTGTGTCTCCTTGGAGGTATTTATTTAGCATGTTCTGCAAACGTGTTGTCTCCAAATAGATTGAAAACTACTTGAAGGCACATTTTAGTTACCTACGTATAAGCACTGCAAGGTTTGTCACTTTGCTACAGAACAAAGTGGGACCTTAAAAGTGTTCGAGTTGTTGGTAATTATTAACATTGTGGGGTGTAAGGAGACTTGCTAGGAAGGAGCCCAGTAAATGCCACTGTGACTATTTGGTGAATTTTTTTTTTTTTAAGATTTTTATTGGGGAATTGGGGGAAGGGGAACAGACAAGTTGCTGTTGTTTTGTTCTTCAGTCTAGCTGTGGAGGCCGTCACTTCACTGGCCCAAGCTGGCACCATCATTGTGCTCTTCCCGGGTGAGGCAGATCAGTCTCCGGCTTCTGGACGGCTGCTCACGGCGGCTGCTGGCTGCTGCTGGCTGCTCGCTACACACGGTAGCTTATGGCAGCCCACTGCAGCAGGGAACTGCAGCCTACGCCGGCGACCCATGGCAGCCAGCCCCAAGGCGAGCTGCCCTTCACCATCTTAGCTGCAGAAGGCAGCGTCACTGGCCTTCATATGTGGGATCCGAACTGGGGCCCTCTAGCATCCCAAACCAGTTCTTAACCAACGCGCCACTCGGCCAGCCCTATTTGGTGAATCTTAATACTTCAACAAACCTTTTCATAAAGTTTTTCTGGTGCTTAAAAAATTCCAGACCTTTCTCCCATCACCTTACCACTTGTTTTTCTTTTATATACATCCTTCTAAGTTGCAAAAGAATATAGCTCAAAAGAGCGGGACGGAGGGAGGCTGGCAACTAGCAGCTAATCTTATCTATCCTTAGGATCTTATCCGCCTTAAGACATGCATCTGAGTTGTGATGATCAGGGATTGTGTATTTACTCAGTTTGTAGTTATAAATGGAAGCGGGAACTAAGTTACTGACTCTGCCATGAGTCAGATACAATTTTTTCTCATACCACCCCATAAGGTAGAAATTGAAAAAGAGAAGGGAAACTGAGCTCGGCTTTTAGGTTTTCAGTGGACAAGCAGGAAGAGGAACACAGTTTGATTTCAACCTCTTCGTATCCTTAGGTGGAGCCACCTGCGGCGGGTGTTCAGTCTCCCTTCGAGCTACTGTTCCTGCATAGACACGGGCAACTCTTCACCAGAACGACAGCGTGCTGTGTCAAGGTTTCCGGCGGCTGGAGCCACACTCTCCGCGGTGCACCCTAGATCCCACCCAGCTGCCCGCCCCAGGTTCAGCAACAGCTTCACTGCAGCGCAGCTCCGTTCCGGCGTTTAACTCGCTGGTCACCCGCGGGGAAACTGGGACAGTGCTCAGCCCCGCCCCCTGCCGCAGGGCTCCTCTGATTGGAGGCGGCTGAGCCCTGCCGGCCAATGGTGAGGCGGCAGCAGCTTCCCGGAAGTGGCGGCGCGGTCAGGAAATAGCTGGGACTCGGAGAGCGGTTTTGGGGCTGCCGGCGTTGGCCGGCGCTATGAGTTCCTTCCAGGGACAGATGGCTGAGTATCCAAACATCTCTATAGATCGCTTCGACAGGGAGAACCTGAGGGCCCGCGCCTACTTCCTGTCCCACTGCCACAAGGGTGAGTGAGCGCGGCGCGGCGCTCGCTCCGCGGGAGCGGGGGCTTCACCGGTTCTGGCCACGCGGGGAAGTTGCCCAGGGGTCTGGAGACGAGGAAAGGTAGGGTTCCGTGTCCTGGAGCGCGGGCTTTGGGAGGCCGGGGGGGAGAATAGCAACTGCACCTTGTCCCAGTCTGGCCCTTTAGCCTCTCTGAGGCTTTATTTTGTTATCTGTACAATGGCCAGCTCTGCACTGAAAGGGCAGGTGGATCAGGCACAACTATGAGGTTCTCCTGTGAACTCTCCTAGCGGCTAATAGTCAGAGGATGGCGAGGATTATTCTTCCCCACATCCTCGCTACTGTGTTATAAAGGAGACTGTTAACAGATGAAATTATGCCATGCCCCCCAAGCATTAGCAAGCAGGCATACTCACACACACTCTGAAATCAAACAAACATCCCGTCTGTAAACCTGACAGAGTGCAAGCTCCCCCTCCTTCTAGATGTTTTGTCCATATCCAATAGGAAAGGTTCATTTCAGTCTGGAGGCAGGGTGCGGTTTACCTTATAGATGACCGGCCCAGGCAGCCAGAATTACTGCCATTTCACAGATGGATCTAGTTAGGGAATCAGCCTGAAGCTTCATCCCTAATGATACTGCTTTGAAGCTAGACCCAGCCTCTCACTAGAATACTAAGATTTCACAGCTGGATACGGTTAGAGTTCAGACCGAAGTGTTGCCCCCTAATGATATGGCCTTGAGGCTAGATGCTCGGGGTGAGTCTCTTAACACATTTCCGCCAATCTCCAGAGCTAGAGTACCACTAGCTTCACAACCATTGTCCGCTTTTACCATCTTTTATGCTAATAAGTCACTAACTTTACCAATGAAAACAGTTTAAACATTTTTTATGCTAATTAATTAGCACCGCCTTTGGCATCGATCAGAGGCGAAGATAAACTGAAGCACTGTAGTAGCTGCTTGTGGGCATGTGGGCTTCCAGGGTAGCTTGAGTAGGGTGCTCCCACCCACTCTTGAATTAGAGCGAAAGAAACATATGCGTGTACATGTCACAAGGTGTAATTTTAAAGTAAATTACAGATATCCAACACTGGCCTTCCCCGCAGGGTTAGTGTGAACCAACTGTTGTCTTGTGTGTGGAATCAGTCACTTTCAGCTGGTGTAAATTGTTGAGGTTAACTGCTTTGGGGAAATGCTGCAGCTTTCTTGCTCAAAGCCACCAGTTATCTCTCTTCAATGCGGAAAATCTGAAGCTCCTTTCTCAATTTGTTCAGTAGCACTGTGTGCCTCTTTGAGGGCTTGTCTGCTTATTATTCAGAATACCTTTTTTTGGGGGGGGTCTTGTTTTTCATTGAGAATCTGCGGCTTGATGAGGTGGCCCTGTTTTCATCTTTCGGGTTGAGTGTCCCTGGAGTTTCTGAGCGTGTAGCCATGACTAAAGTATGGCGGAGGGGCTTGCCCTTCACGTTTAGGAGTAATGAGTTTGGAGGAAGAGTTCATCTAAAGGGGTCTGAAATCATCATTAGTTTGTACGTTAGGCAAGAAATGGACTCCACACTCTCGAGCAGTTTATAAGAACTTTTCCTGTTCTCAGATCACAGGTGGATCTGTGTACTCAACCAGGATATAAACTCATCGAGGGCAAGCACTCAACTTCTGCTTTTGGGGGTTTTCCATGTTGCCTGCGGGTGGTTTTTAACCCTTTGGGGAAACAGACTTCTTTGGATATACTTTGGACTGAATTGTGTGCCTCCCCACCCCTCAAATTCATGTGTTAAAGCCTTAACCCCAATGTGATTGTATTCAGAGGTAGGGCATTTAGGAAGTAATTAAGATGAAATGATGTCGTAAGAGTGGGGTCCTGATTCGATAGGACTTAGAAGAGATCTCTCTCTCCACACACACACCTAGAAGAAGGTCAAGAAGGTGGCTATCTGCAAGCCAGGAGGAGACATCTCACCAGAATCCAACTGTGAGAAATAAGTTTCTGTTGTTTAAGCCCCCCTGCCTATGGTATTCTGTATGACAGCCCAAGCTAATACAGAATATGTGATAAAATCTATGGACTATTTTGCTAAAAAAAAAAAAAAGCACATAAACAGGTTAATACCACATTTTGATAGAATTTGGAGTAGGCCCACTTGATGCTGGTTTATGGACCATGTGGAACCCATTGTTGTGCTTGGAGTGAAACAGGGTTTACTAAGCATCAGTGAGGCATGGATAATGAGAGGGGAACCCAGCCTGCGATAGTCACCCAGGATTGGGGAGGACCCCTTCAGGAGACAACTTACGATGATTTATTCTGGTGAAGGAAAAAAGGAAAAGGCCCTGGGAAGGAGTTTCTCAGTGCAGTTCTAGAAGCACAAAGCATACTCGCTCCAGTTCCCCTGGTCTCCAGTCATGAAGGGGCCTGGGGTGGTGGGAGGGGTACCTAGAATGGCTTTAGGGTGCCCTCTGCTGACTCAGGTACAGAGCATGGAGCAGAGTCCTGATTCTGCCCTCTTTTGCCACAGCATAAATGCTCTGGAAACCCCAGTTACTGAGAGTCCTGCCCTAGGGTGTAGCCATAGGCCCTGAGAGCCCAGGCCAGTAATGACCTGAGGCGATGCATCCTCTGAGGGCGTGTGTGGGTGGTAATTAGATTAATTAGAATTGATTTGATTTAACCGAACAATTTAGAAGTGTTTGGCCATTGCTGTCTAGGCCTTTACATGCTAATGGTTCCGAATGTATTAGAACTCACCCTTTATTTAATGTGCTATTTGGTTTAATTGTTACCTGTCTTTAAATATCATCTTTTTGTGTCTGTTATTTGGAGGGCAGTGGAGCAAGCCTGTGTGGATAGGAATAGAAATTGCTGGAAGCAGTTCAGAGTGAGATCCTTGTCACTCATGCTCTGTGGCTACTCAGAGTGGTTTAGACTCTGCCCTAAGATACAGGGGATTGTTATCCTTTTAAATGACTCCTGATGGCTCAGAGATGGTCAGAGGTTCATGTTCTATTTCATGTTCTATTTTCAGATGGATTCTTCACTTGGAGAAGAAAGAGCCAATTGCCCAGATGAATCAATTCCCTTATAAAAGTGAACCTGTTGCATATTTTCTCATAAGAGGAAGTTTAAAAAGAACAGACAACTGAGTGTTTTTGGGTTAAGTAAGCCTCCGAAAAAATAATGTGTTTATGATTTTTGATTCTTTTGTTTTTAGATCACATGAAAGGATTAAGAGCCCCAGCTTTGCAAAGAAGGCTAGAATGCAGGTAATTTATTTTGCTATTTATTTGTGTGTGTATATCTTTAAGTAACCATTTAATTGAGCTTTAACATCTATACAAAAGAGTATGTATATCATAAGGGTACAGTCTGATGTATTTTTACAAGCGAACACATTCGTGAGGCTTCTATCCAGATCAAGAAATAGAACAGAGCCAGTACCCCTGTCCCTCCTCCCAGCCATCCCCCCTCTCCCAAACATAACCTCTATTCTGACTTTTGTCATCATGAGTTAGCGCTGGCTTTTGAGGTTTATGTAAATAGAATCACACTGAATAGACTCTTCTGTTCTCTTTTCTGGACATTATATTTGTATGATTTATCTGTGCTAATGGGTGCAGTCGACAGTTTGTTTTCATTTCTATAAGTGTGTGTGTGTATGTGTAAATGGTTGTTTTAGTCTAAAGAATTATAATATTGTTGGCTCTTTCCTTAAAACTGAACTGTCACATTCTTTTCCTGAAGTCATTGCCCAAATCTAAATTCCAAATTCCCAAGATGTGTATTTGGAAAGGGCCTCATTGACTTTTTTACTTTTGAACCAATAGATGTTAGGCTAAGTGCTCTCTGCTAAGTGATAGCAACAGCCTGTGTTGTTGATAATGCTAGTTAATATTTATTGAGTACTTCTCTATAGGCCAGGCACTACCTATTTATTAGTTCAGCAGTTTCTTTGAGTGCCTGTGATGACATCCTCATTACAGCCTCTTAATAACCTTCTGAATAGATACTATTATTATTTCTATTTTACAGATGAGGAAACTGAGGAACCAGAGAGGTTAAATTAGTTGCCCAAGTTCATACAGCCAGTAGGTGGCAGGACCAGGATTTCAACCAGGTCTGTCTGATTTTAGAGCCTGTGTATTAGTTATCTGTTGCTGCCTAACGAATTACCCCAGAACTTAGTGACTTAAACCAACACTAATCATGTATTCTCTGTCTCAGTTGCTGTGGGTCAGGAATTCTGACCAGGCACAGTGGGTGTGGCTGGTGTCTGCCTGACCAGGCATCGTCTGGGGCTGATATCTGAAGGCTTATTTATTCTGTGTCTGACACCTGGGCTGAGAAGACTCAAACAGCTGGGGTTCCTTGGGCATCTGTGTCTCTAAAAATATCTCTTCAGCATGGTGGTTTCAGGATAGGTGGACTTCTTAAATGGAAACTCAAAAAACAAGTGTATCTCCCAAGAGAGGAGAGCAGGTGGCCCTATTGCCCGGAGGTCTAGCCTCAAAAGTCCTGCACTATTACTTCCATCACGTTCTGTTGGTTATGGCAGTTACAAAGATCTGCCCAGCTTCAAGGGGGAAGTTTAATATAGAGCCCTCCTGTCAATGGAGGAATTTCCATGGCCATTTTGTAAGAAGACCATGTATGGATAGGGTATAATATCAGTGTGGCCATCTTTGGAAGATACAGTCTGCCACAGACTGTATTCCTAACGTCTAAGCTATACTGTTGAATTTTTTAAATTTATCATGAAATTGATTTCTGCTCACTAAAACAAAAAAACAAACTAAAAAGCCAAAACCGGAATAGATGTATATGAAGTAAAACACAGAAGCCTTCTTCCCCCTACACCCCCTCTCCACACTCCAGAGTAGCTTAGCATTTGGTGGCCTCTTTTTAGACATCCCTGAGTGTGTCCAGACACGCATCCTGAGCATAAGAAAGGCAAGGGCCAACCTTCTGAGGGAGTCAGAGGACACAGCGTTTTCTCCATCTGCTTCTTCCCCATCCCTTTACACTCCCAATGGGACTGAGAGTGGGAAGGCGTTGGCATGCTGGGAACTACGCTGACACTTCTTGTGCCAGCTCAGTTTCTGAATTACTTGAGATAGGTGATAAGTGACATGTGATGAAATGTATTTCCTAGTCACCAAGGTGGCTTATTTTGTACTGTACTGAAACAACTTTTTTTTTGTCTTTCCCTTTCAGCTTGAAGGTTTACTTATACTGTTCGCCTGTTACTAAAGAGTTGTTGTTAACTAGCCCAAAGTACAGATTTTGGGAGAAGCGAATTGTAAGTTGGATTTTTTTGAATGATGCTAATTCTTTCTTTTTTTTTGGAGTGGGAAATATTTTTCACAGTAGATTGAACAAAGTGTTGGAAGGATTCAAAGCCGAGTTCCTCACACAGTATATTTATTCACGTTCATTACAATATTGACACATAGTCTTTGTAATTCAGCAGTTTGGAAGAAGTGGACATTTTTATTGTTGATTGGTTTTTCTTGTCTTTCAGCCGTTTGATCTAGAATCCTAGTTTTGTTTAATCTCATTGAGTCTCTTGCTAAGTTGCATTTTAATACTTTAAAGTGTAAAATGTTAACATAATTGATAAATCCTTTTATTTAGAGCATGGGATAGATTAGAAAAAGTAAATGTAACTTTTGGCTTATAATAAGAAAGGGCTAACAACCAGAATAAAAATAGAATGAATAATTTTGAATCTGGCAGAATAAAATGGATCTAATCAATGGAAGGAAGATACAGTAAAGGGGAGAAAAACAAAAGTATGGTACATAGAAGATGCAAAGATGGTAGGAAATGTTCTGTTATAACAATAATTACTATAAATATAAATGGATTTAATTCAATTCTTGATGAACAGACAAATTCTCAGTTTAGGTAAAAAAAAAAAATCCACTAGTCAGTCTACAAGAGACATAATTAAAACAAAAGGATAAATGAAGGTCGAAATGGAAAAAAAGGATGGGGGGATATACTAAACAATTAGAAGCTGAGAATGCCAGAGTGGCCATTGTTATATATACAAATTAGAATTGGGGGCCGGCTGAGTAGCTCAGTTGCTTAAGAGCTCGCTCAAGAGTTTGAGCTCTGAGCAACAGTGGTTCGAGTCCCGGCCCAGGCTGAGCAGCCGCTGAGCTGCCAACAGGTGGCAGGATGGCTCAACTAAAAAAAAAAAAAAAAAAAAGTTAGAATTGGCAAAAAAAAAGAAAAAAATCGGAAGTTTCAAAGAGGATGTTATTTACTGTTAAAAGGAACAATGGATCAAGAAGATATGAATATAAATGCAATTGACAAAGTAACCTCAAACTGGATAAAGTAATAACTGATCACCCTATGCTCGATCAGAGAAAGAGACCACAGTGAGTGAACAGAATTAGGGTTCACTATGTGGATTAAACCCCAAATAATTCTGGGAGCTGACAGAGAAGTCTGAACAAGTGTCATAAAGAGTGTTGTTTGCTGACAGCTTTCAAGTCCTGCTTCCTCTTCCCCTCCTGCCCCACGCCTGGGCAAGCTGACACAAAAGCCTACCCCTCCCTCAGAGCCCACATGAAGTTCAAACCATGCAAGCCCAGGCCCACCCCTAATCCCAACAAAAACCAGAGCCACTGGCTCCTTTTCTCTCTGAGGCCACAAGAGCCACTTCCTCCCAGCTGGTCGTGTCTTCCTCTCCCCAGAAAGTCCCACGATGTGAGCATGGCAGTGTTTTCCTGCCCTCTTGGTGCAAGTGTGGCATCTTCTGCCTCCATCTCCAATCTATCAATTAGTGTGAGCTTTAACCTCCCTTCACAAAGTTCCACAACAGCAAAGGCGGTAACCTTGGCCTTGGTGTTAGGCCTGAAGTTGCTCTGGGTCAGCTCGGCCAGCAGTCCAGAAGGAAAGCTGAAAAAGAAGTGAAGACGAGTAGAGACAGGTGGGAATCCCTGTCTGTCTCTTACTCCTCCCAATCTCGGCAGTGCTGCTGCCCGCTTTGCCACTGAGCTCCACACACCTGGCCCAGGACTCTGAGAGGCTGAAGGAGGGTGGGTGTCCCGCAGAGGATGTAGCTGCTGAAGTCGCGTGTCAGTGAGCTGAGCCCAGCAAACAACGCTGCACGAGCTGTTATTTCTGGTGTTCTTTGGAGCATTAAAAAGTGGTTGTTGGTTCATTTCCGCCTTCTGAATCTCAACCCTAAGCTGGAAGCGTACATGGAAAGGACTACTCGGATAGTTCCAGCTCAGCGAAGTTGATGGAGTACAAGGCCACCTAACAGTCTCAGGGAGAAATGGGCAATTCGACAATTGTAGCTGGAGCGCTTGCCACACCACTCTCAGAAACTGAAAGATGAGGAGTCAGGAAATAAGTGAAGATACAGAAGATTTGAATGCCATAATTAATAAATGTGAACTGATCGAAATACAGAGCTTTAAACCCAACAGGGAAAACAAGGCCTTTGGGTATACATGGGACATTTACAAAAATTGACCACATACCATGTCACAAGAGAAGTTTTAAGAAATCCCAGTGATCTTGTTGCTCTGACCATAACGCGATGACTTTGGCAGAAAAAAAAGGAGAGCTAAAGTCATCTACATATGGGAACTAAATGCATACAATAAACAACTCTTAGGTTAAAGAGGAAATTGTAAAGAAAAACATACAATGTATGTATGGACAATGGAAGCATGACATGTCAAAATGTGTGGAACAGCTAAATTAGTACTCAAAGGGAAATTGATAGCGTTAAACACATTTCTTAGAAAACAAAGAGTAGAATTAAATGGAGTGTCTTCAACTCAATAAGAAAGAAAAGAAGTGACAAAGCAAATCTCAGGATATGTGAAAGAAGGATATAATAAAGGTAAAAGGATAAATAATTGATACAGAGACTAACAACTACCACAGAAAATAAAAGATGAATAAAACTAAAAGCTCATCTTCAGAGAAATAGAGGTAAATTTCTGCCAAGATTGATAATTAAAAAGATGCACATAAAAATACAGAATGATAAAAAGGAAAACAACAGCAATGTATTTTTTGACAATTATGGTAGTATATTTGATAATTTAGACAAAGTGGATAAAGTAGGAAAATACCAAATTGAGACAAGAAAAGTGGAAAACGTGAATAAATCAGTAACCATCCAAGAAATTCAAACAATTTTCAAAGATCTGTCTTCCTGAGGGCCCAGATTATAAATAACTTTATTCCAATAAATATGACAACTTAGACAAAAATAGAAAAATTTCTTTAAAAATACAATTAACAAAATAGACCCAAGAAGAGATGAAAATCTGAATAGCCCTGTATCGCTTAAAGAAATTTAATTATTTAAGTTAATAACCTACTTTTTCCAAAAACAAAAGCAAATCTCTTTATGCCCAGATGACTTCTGGTAAATCCTAGCAAATATTTAATGAAGAACAAAGACCAAATCTTTCATAAAATAAAGGGTGACATGTCTCACCATTTTACCAGGCCAATGTTACCCCATTACTAAAATCAGATGAAATTCTTTACAAGAAAAGAAAATGAATAGAATATTAAAAAAATTAAATAAATGCCCAGTCCCCGATGGTTTTGCAGGTGCATTTCGCCAAATGTTCAAAGACTAGTTTCTATACTAGCTGAATTATTGTAGGAGATAATAAAAAGATAAGCCGCTCAACCCCACTGGCAAAGTAAATTATAACAGTACATGGGGGAAAAGGCCATTTCACATGTGAACACCCTAATTAAGGTAACAGCTAACTGAATCTCACAATATTAAAATATAGTGCACGATGAATACCGTGCATTTATCCCAGAAATGCAAGGATGTTTTCACCCCTGAAGCCCGGTCACTAAGTTTTAAGACATTGGCAGACTAAAGAGATGAAAACTTATGTTCATTTGTCCTTTGTTCAGTGAGTGCCTCTCTGTATTAGTTGCTGTTCTAGTAAAACGGGCACACCTTGGAGTACTGTGCAGCCGCTCGACTCTGTGAATTCAGGCAACATGTCATGGACCGATTCAGACAAAACCTAAGCACACAGGACACACGACTCTGTGTTTTACAAAGACTCAAGTTCAAAGGGATGGGGAGGTGAAGAGAGGAAGGTGGAATACATGGAAATAGGATTGCTGTGTCGAAGGATATATAAGCTTACAAAGCATTTAATATGTATTGCCACAGCAACCTCAAGAAAGGTGTTATATTAGCTTTATCGTGTTTTCAAGCTGTTAAAACATTTATTATAGTGGAATTAGAAATTGTTACCCAGAGTCTGACGTCTACCCTTCGTCCCCTATCTGTGTTTGAGATGGCAAAAGCATAATAAAGCCAAAAATATTTTTTAAAATGTGCAAATATACAGTACGATGTATACATGACCTCTTATTTTATTTTAATAGATATCAATTGAAATTGAAACTCCTACCCAGATATCTTTAGTCGATGAAGCATCAGGCGAGGTAACTTAATATTAAATATCATGGTTTTAAAAATTAACGTTTAGTGCTAAAATGATTGTTTATCTTTGTTCTTGAATTTTGAATGCTCATTTAACCATAGGGAGTGAGTTTATAGGGAAAGGAACCATTTGTAACGTATTTATTTTCCATATCCAAAGGATTAGCTTTGACTCGGTCAGAATGGCTCCCCTTTAGTTTTACATGTTAATGAGGGGAACCCCAGTTGTTATTATACATGATGTCATTGTCACATTAAGTTTATTATAATGTTCAGGATATAAAACAGTGCTTAATATTTTTGAAGCAAATTCATGCCTATTGTGATTTGTTTTTTTCTGAGCCATTTTTTTTTAAGAAAAAGACCCTGTCCAAGTGGATCCAATTTATTTTTTTGTCCTTAAATTTAGGAGAAGGTACTTTTGTGTTCTGAGTGTATTGTTTTAATAGTAAGTAGGAGTATGGAACTACCTTTTATTTGTTCATTTTTACCTCAAGCTAGAGGTAAATACCTGGAGCTAGGAGGTATTTTCCTAGTTTATGGCAACTCGAGTGAACATTTGTTCCATAGCATGTGTGTCACTGTTGCTGTGTGACAGTGATCTGATCAAACGGGGGTGGGGGAGGGGACACCCCAGTGGCTGACTTTTCACATTCCCTCTTCGGAGGAGATCAGGCATTTGAAATACTCCTCATTAAATCATTGCCCCGAGGGAGGGCTGCTTGGCCAATTTAAGGTGGCTTCAGAAGAGGGAAAAAGGATTGCCTGAGCTCCGGAGCTAACACGGATGCCCTGCAGACTCACTCTCGGGCCTCCCCGCCCTGGGACGCATGTAGGTGAAAGGCCTTCTCAGCCCTGGGCCCCAGAGAGCTGTTGACCAGAGTCTTGCTGTCGTGTCTCTTCTTGTGCTGTGGCTTTTGTGTGTTGTGTCTCCAGCTCCACCGGGTGGGATACCCCGTTTTAAAGGGGCCTTCGGAAAGAGTGATGTTAGACTGAGGGGAGGAGCTGGTGTGTCCAGAGCTTTGCCCCCATCCTGAGGGCTGAGACGGTGTTCCCCATCAGGCTTGGCCCTAACAGGACCGTATAGGGTGCAGTGTGGCGACTTGGGACCAGGCTACATCAGGGTTGTTTTTTTGTTTTTTTTTTGTTTATTTTTTTAAATAAACAGCTTTATTGAGATCTAGTTCACATGCCATATAATTCACCCCATTTAAGGTGTCCAATTCAGTGGCTTTAGTATATTCACAGAGTTGTGTATCCATCACCACTATCATTTTTATCACCCCAAAAGAAACCCTATTCCCATTAGTTACTCCTTATTTCTCCCTTCTCTCATTCCTTGGCAACCACTATTCTACTGGAAGTCTCTATGAATTTGCCTATTCTGGACATTTCATATACAGGAAATCGTACTATTTGTGGTCTTTTGTGACTGACTGCTTTCACTTTGCATAATGCTTTCAAGGTTTATCTATGTTGTAGTAAGTGTCTGTATTTCATTTTTTATGGCCAAATAATATTCCATTTTATGGATAGACCACATTTAGTTTGCTCATTCATCAGCTGATAGACATTTGGACTGTTTCTTCTCTTTGGCTAGTGTGAATAATGCTGCTGTGAGCATTCATGTGTGGGTTTCTGTGTGGATATAAGTTTTCATTTCTCTTGTGTAATTACCCGAGAGTGGAATTGCTGTGTTGTATTGTAACCCAACATTTAATCGTTTGTTTTGTGGGCAAGGAATCCACTTATTTCAAGGATTTGGAGAGAGAGGAAATGAGGAGAAAAGGCATATCGTATTCTTGAGACGCACTTGAATGTTAATGTTCTATTAAGGAGGGCTTTATTTAGCTGAGTCCTAATGATAACTTCTATTGTTTTTTTTTTTTCTTTACTTTCTTTTTAGAAGGAAGAGATTGTTGTGACTCTTTTACCAGCTGGTCATTGCCCAGGATCAGTTATGTAAGGCGCTCATCTATTTTCCCATTTTATTATATGTATATTTGTAGAAATACATCTTTAGGATTTGGAAATTAATATGGATAGGGAGATTTGGTTATGTTTATGGCACTTTCTTTAATCTTTGTTTACAAATTGAACTTGGGGGGACTGAGGTGGAGAGCGAGTTTGAAATGTGGCTTTCTCATTATGGAAGCACTCAATAGCTATTTCTCCATTGGCCTTGCAGTTTCCTATCACATGGATTTTCCTGTCCATGAGCAGGAATGATCTCAATATACATTGAGAGTGCTAACACAATTCAGGGGACATCTATTGCAAACTCATTTTTTTCCACTCCATGGAAGAGGTGGTCTAGAGCTATTGAAATTCCATTGACACTGTGTCATAGTGGCTGTGTTTGGCAGGAGACATTTTGTATGGAATTAGTATACAAGTATGTTTGCTTTATTAGGATTTTGTATGAGATCGAGAAGTCACTGACATATATTTCCTTTGCAGGTTTTTATTTCAGGGCGATAATGGAACTGTCTTGTATACAGGAGACTTCAGACTGGCTAAAGGAGAAACTTCCAGAATGGAGCTTCTGCACTATGGGGACAGGTACCGGATGTTTTATAACTCTTGAATATAAGACTGCATTGTTTTTAATAGGTTTATTTCCCTGTTTCCCCCACATACAAGCCTTTGCTTCTCTTAGAAATCAAACCTGATCATCATATTTGTAACAGTAAGTTTTCCTCCTTGAAATGGGGTGATGGTAACATGCTATGTGTGGATTGGGGTAGTAGTTATGGGAATTTGTCAAAGTTCACTGAACCATATATACAAAAATCTGTGTATTGTATGCAAATCATTTCCCAACAGAGTTGTTTTAACAACAACAAAAAAAACCCCAAATGAAATAGAACACCCTGTAAATAACTGAGAGTTTAAACTTTCAACATATCTTATTTCACATTAGATGATTAACACCAATTTTTTTTTCCCCCCCAGAGTGAAAGATATCCAAAGTGTGTACTTAGATACGACTTTCTGCGATCCCAAATTTTATCAAATTCCTAGTCGGGTAAGTCTCCTTGGAGAAAAGGTGGTGGGGAAAGAACCTGGGCGTGGCCACATTTCCAAAAGGAAGTTTGGATCATAATTGTCCCCACTGGCATTGATATCTGTGGATGCTGGGAATGGAAAGGGAGCTATTCTTAAAAAGTGGTAAATACCTTTTAAAACTCTTGCCCAGGGGGAGTGTCTGAGTGGAATACTGGAGCTGGTTCGAAGCTGGATCACTCGGAGTCCCTACCATGTTGTGTGGCTGAACTGCAAAGCAGCTTACGGATATGAGTATCTGTTCACTAACCTCAGTGAAGAATTTGGAGTCCAGGTACAATGGCAGCTCTTTCTTTCCTGGTGCTCCCTTCCGTCCTCTCAGCTTTATCTTTCCTCCCCCTCCCACCCCCACAACATTGAAAACAGTAACAGATGGAAACAGCCTATCAAAATATGTGTGGGGCACAGGTTGGCAGGCTCTGTGAATACACCCTCTTGTTTATTCATGTGCTCATGGGGGGACTTGACAGTGGCCCAGATGGCTGAGAAGAGCCCTTTGGGGAAATGTCTCGTAGAGGAAGTACTTTTTCAAAACTGTGGGTCATGAAATAAATTTAGTGATTGTGACCGGCACTGAAATTTGAACTAGAAAATATCTGAGTGTATTGCTTTTGTGAAAATTTACAGATGGAACCAGACATATGCACATACATGTATGTGTATGCGTACTGGGTAGCAGTGGAAAACATATTTGTTATTGTGGGTTGTGGTAAAAAAAATGTCTGAAAACTTCCGTTCCTTCCAGATGGTTCAGTGCTGGGCCCTCAGGACCCTAGGCAGCAGGGCCCAGTGTGTGTGTAAGTGGCTGCTCCCCCAATTCCCCCCAACCTTTCCCCACTCCCACCCCCAGTACTGCTGTCCCCACACAGAGCCTGTGGCTTCCACCCTTGTCCCCTAAGACAAGATGGATTTTCAGTAATGATTCTAAACAAAACCAAGTACTGAAACTCAATGGGCGTTTAAGTTCTACTTTGTTTTGTATCTTTTAATATCATCCCCCAGCTAGCAAACTTGTGCCAAAAACTTAATTATATGCAACGTAATTTAAATAAAAAAGACCTAGTTTTTCTGCATTTGAAATTTTAAAATTCTTCCCTTCCTCTCTTTCATAAATCTATTTCCTAAGTCATTCTTTTCTTAATTTCTTCGTTCCTTAAGTCCTTCTGTCCAAATGTGTTGGTATAAAGTTGACAGTTCTCCATTTGGGGAAGAATTTGCTTTCATTCTGAGATTTTTGGTGTTAAAATGGCCTTTTAAATTAAAATCACAGTGATATTAGATTGTGTGTTCTCTCTCTCTCTCTCTCTGTCTCTCTCTCTCTGTCTGTCTCTCTCTCACCTTCTCACCCTCCCTCACCCTCCCCCGCATAGTACTATCCCATTTTTTTTTTTCATGTCCTCTCCTGGCAAAATATAAAGGTAGCAACTACTTACCAGTCCCAAATTGGCTTTGTAACCTTTATTGGTGTGTGAACTTGAAACCAGAAGTACCTATTCAAGAGGCCTTAGGGAGAAACCATGGATGGGCTGAGGAGGGCTTGGGTTGGGGGAGCAGGCCTAGGTGGTGACCTCAGAGTCACCCTGCAGGGAGCCCTCTGTTAAGTCTCTTAATCCCTTTGTAGGGGAGAGAAACCAGGAATTTAGGACTTTCAGATCAGGAATTTAAAAAGGGTAAACACTGAGTTTTTGACCAAGGGACCTCAGTGATGATCTATGGCCACTTTTTCAGGCTTCTTCATTTCTGTGAGGATGAAAGTTTCTGTATCACTCTCTGAGCATCTCAGAATGTACCCCTTTTTATCTCCTTAGAGAGGCCAGAAAAGCAAATTCATTGTCACTTTTTCTCAGTCCTTAGTAAATAGGTAGTGAGCGGAATAGGTCACAGGATAAGTGAGCGATTATGCTTGGGTTCTTTTCCTACCTGTCTTGATATTAATTGCCACCGCAATTTGACCTCATTCTAATCTGCTTTGTTCAAAATAAAAATACCTTGTTTTGGTGCCATTTCATAATCCTAATATCACCTTGGGTACAGCAGATCCTTGAATAACGTTTTCTTATAAGGTCAATGAGATGCTGTGGGAACTGAACTCTTATGTCAATCAGCCTGTGGTCAAGGTGGTTTCCTTACATGTCCTCTCGCTGCATTTCCAAGAACCTGTCGATGATGTTAAGTGAGGGCGTACTGTCCATGTTACTTAACGTTGAAGTACCCAGAAGAGAAGCTTTAAACAGACACATTGGTTTTGACACTTTAAAATGTATTAGCCTTAAAACTCTAAAGGTGGCCAAGGCTGTTTTGGTTTTTCTGCATCTACCCTCTCTCTTTTCATCTAAGACAGAGACATGTGGTCAGGGAGGTCGGTGTCTGCTTCCTAGTCCCGCCCTCCCCAGCCCTTCTGTGGCATGTGTCTGTCTTCCTGAGTCATTCCTGATTGCTTTAATCCGCGGTGTCCACTGCTACATGCCCGATATTTAAAAGAAAGCTTGACACACAGTAGGTGCACCATACATATTAATTGAATGACTCTTGACGAACCAAAGGACAGTACTAGCATGATCCAGTGAAATCCACTGACCGAATGTCCAGAATGTCTAATTACCACCAACTATAGGCGGTAACGCTGACGGGTGTGGATATGGTCTTCATCCTTTGCCTGTTGACATTTTATTGGAATAAGAATGTGCATCGAAAGAGCCAAAATACAGGTTTCGAGAAAGAAGGAAGAGTTCCCTGACTGGATGATTGCCCCCTGCATAGTTACCCTATTTATAGGAATATAATTCAGATAATCTTCTTATATGTGTTATTTTCCTCAGATTCACGTGGATAAACTAGATATGTTTCGAAACATGCCCGACATTCTCCATCATCTCACCACAGACCGCAACACTCAGATCCATGCGTGTCGCCATCCAAAGGTACATAGTAAACGCTTTTCTTATGGTTTGTGGGATCCATGAAAAACAGAAATATATGTCCAGAAGGAACCTTAGAAATTCCTGTTTCTAGGCTCTCAATTTACAGATGTAAAAACTGAGGCTGAGATCCTGTTATTGGCCCACGATCATTACAACTACACACTATTGGATTCCCTTACCATAAACTTCATAATTAGTAATTAGACACAGATGCTTATGGTTTTTAATGACACATACTCATACACATCTGATATGTTTATTTGTAATGAATTATGTAATGAATAATTTGTAATGAAATTAGTAAAATGTTAGAGTTTATAATTTAAGAAAACATTCATAATCTAATGCTGCTTATTTTTGAGACTCATGACCCGTGCACATTTATAAACTTGATTTTTCTTCTCATTTGAGATAAATATCTAGATATAACTTTGAATTCTGAAATAGTTACATGTATTGCTGGTCCAATTTCAAATGACTATTTCTAGTATCTTTTCAACTTGTAATTCATTTTCTAATGCCACCATTGAACTCCCTTCTCTTATTAAATGCCCTTCTGTTATTAAATGCCAGGTATTACATTTTTAATTTGCCTTTAACATTTAAAAAAATTTTAATTTATATGGTCATTCAACATCACTAATACTAATTAGTGATCTTCAAATGCAATGGTATATGTGATCATAATTTTCCTCTAACTTTTAAAGTATCTTAGCATTCAAATACTTAAGTAATTTTTATTATCGTGAGCACTGCATTTATACATTTAGATAATCATTGTGGTAGTAATATTGCCTCCATCAGCCAAAAACCCACTGTAATGTTATTCAGCCCTAAAATAAAGAATAAAACAAACAAAAGAATTTTTATTCACAGCATGGAACGTTCTACTTCAGCACACTGTAGGAGAGCTACAAGTTAAGAAATTACTTGCATTTATGAATTTTTCATCATTTTGTTTGTGTGTGTAGACACATGCACACACGCCCAGTGAATTCGTGGATGGATAAAAATGATGTAAATACAAAATGAAACTGTCCTTTTTCTATTGGACTTGGGAGTCTTTGGCCCCCTAATCCCCATAAATCTTTTTTTTTTTTTAAGATTTTAATTTTTTTTATTGGGGAATTGGGGGGATGGGAACAGTGCTGGGGAATTGGGGGAAGGGAAACAGACAAGTTGCTGTCGTTTTGTTCTTCAGTCTAGTTGTGGAGGACGTTGCTTCACTGGCCCAAGTTGGCACCATCATTGCGCTCTTCCCGGGCGAGGCAGATCAGTCGCCGGCTTCTGGACGGCCACTCACTGCGGCTGCTGGCCGCTCACGCTGGCTGCTGGCTACACACGGTAGCCCATGGCAACCCACTGCAGCAGGGGCTGCAGCCTACGCCGTCACCTCATGGAAGCCCAGTTCCAGGTTGAGCTGTTGTTCAGCATCTTAGCTGTAGAGGGCAGTGTCACTGGCCCTCATATGTGGGATCCGAACCGGGGCCCTCTGGCGTCCCCAGCCAGTTCTTAACCATCGCGCCACTCGGCCGGCCCCCCATAAATCTTTTAATTGACCAATTTTTTTTTCTTTGAGTTTTCTCACATCTCACAAAGGCATTTAATTTGTAACTGCTACTCCTGTCATTTCCCACATCTTGCACCACTACTTCTAGTGGCTTGAGGGGTTTCTCAGGTTACATAGTCTGAAAAATACTAAACGGGGCACAGCGCGCCAAGCCCTGTGGCTTCTCATCTCAGAGGGAACGGCCCCAAAGGTGCTGGATGACATGTGATTTGGATGAAGTGCTCATGTTTTTGAAGGATTCCATCTAAACACAGTGTCTTTGGGAAAATAGTTCCATTATTTTTCAACCTTTTAAAAATACTTTTGCTATTATTTTTCTCCAACTTTGTTTTGAAAACTTTTAAAAACAGTAAAGTTGTGAGACTGGATTCCACAGTTTGCTAACACTGGGTCACATGTGCACTCTCGCCCTTCCCCCTCCCCCTGTGCAACCAGCACCCCGCAGCCCCCCCTCTGAGGGTCAGTCGCAGACTTCATGACACTTCACCCTAAACCTTCAGCACATATCACTGAAGAATGAGGACATGTTCCTATATAACCGCAGTACAATTCCCACACTCAGGAAATTGAACATGGATACGGTACTATGGGTATATAGATACACTATTGGTATATAGATTTCCCCAGTTGTCCCATTAGTGTATTTAAAGCTTGTGGAGGGGGAGCAGGGCATCCAGGATTTAATGAAGGGTCTTGTGTCGCATTCACTCAGCCTCTTTGGTCTCCTGAGAGGTAGATCAGGTCTCCAGCTTGTTTCGTCACACTGATATTTCTGAAGCGTCCAGGCCAGTTGTTTTGCTGAACATACCCCAATTTGGAATTATCTGCTTGTTTCCCAATGTCTACGTTTTTCCCCCCATGTCGGAAAACCAACCTCCATTTGTTTTTGAGGCCTTGCCTACAGACAGGTTTGTTGAAAATGTTGAACTGTTTTTCTATATTTTTAAAATCCTTTTTAGGCAGAAGAATATTTTCAGTGGAATAGATTACCCTGTGGAATTACTTCCAAAAGTAAAATTCCACTCCACACAATCAGCATTAAGCCATCCACAATGTGGTTTGGAGAAAGAACCAGAAAAACAAATGTAATTGTGAGGTAAGAAAGCAATGTCATAGGTCTTTGGAGACAAACCTTGCTTTGAGGTAAACTGTCTGACTTTAGTTTAAATGCAATCTAGCCTAAGCTCAAGAAGAGGGCATATTTTTGGGTTGTCGGAAAAGTCATGACGTATTTTTTTCTGTTTTTCGTTGCAAAAATGCGTCATGTCTTTTCCAACAATCCAATATAATTGCGGAAAACAACTTCTGAAATTTAAACTCCATTTAAACTGCAGAGATTCTGCTTCCAAACTTACTTAATAGCTAATACCATCAGCCAGTATGTCTGTGGGGAAATAGTCCCTTTGTTCTTCAACTTTTTAAAAATATTTTTTCATTATTATTTAATATCTACCCACCTCTAGTTGGGTAAATAAGGTGGTTGGAGACTGAGGGTATCTTGCGTGGCAAGGAGTTATGAATTGATGTTGGAGGGAACAGAGCTATTGGTGAAGTATAGGAGTACCATGACAATCACCATTTTTGAGCAACATTTGCTTCATATTGGCTGTTCAGAATGTCTGCAGATATTTATATTTCTGGAAACAGTTCCCTCCTATCCCAGGAAGAAATTCTTTATTGTAGGGTGATTTCCTACTGGAATAGCCTAAATGAGAAGGCTTGAAATGTAGAACTTAGCTTAGTTTTGTTAAGTGACCTTTTAATTTTGTGTTTTCATTTCCCTTTAGGACTGGAGAGAGTTCATACAGAGCTTGTTTTTCTTTTCACTCCTCCTACAGTGAGGTAAGAGGATCCCACATTCACACATCCCTATTGCCGACCGCGAGTTCCCTTGACTTCCAGAGGCATCTCTTTTTCTATTGCTGATTTGTTGTGGCTTTTCCTAAAGACATGCGGTGAAAATATCTCAGGGGATGAGTTATGTTTCGTAAGTACCAAGGGAATTACTATTATTGTTTTCAGCCTAAATATTGAAGAATACGTATGATTAAGGTTTTCTTCTCACCTTGCATCCTAAATGTATTTTAACTTTCCCACTTCAGTTGTACTGTTCACCTAGCACAAAAGAATCATAAATCTTATTTAAAGGACTACTAGATACAATCTCGTTACAGGCAACCTTAATGGCCAGGTTCTTGGCCTCTTCCAAAAATTTGATTGTACTGAAAAGCCACTTAAAAATAGTCCTGGATATTGAGCAGTGGGGAAGAACAAAGGTGATTGAGCTATAGACCTTGTCCTTAAGAAGGATAGCATATATTAGACTCAGTTTTAAAGGAGCTTAAAATGGTTTAGTTATGGTACTTTTTATATAGGACCTGCCAGAATGGGAACTTAATACATGTAATTTATTTGCAAAACCCTCGTGCATTTCCAAAGTAAATGCTAGCTTCTAACAAGAGCAGAGATTCACTGAAAAAGCCATCTAAAAGCAGGCTTTTGATGACCCTTTAAGTCATATAATTTTAGTTTTGCCATAACTATTATTTTTGTGTTTGGGACACATGGCTACAGCTCTGTAGCAGTGAGCCATGGACGTGTTAATGGTTTGAACAGGTGGATTTTCCCCGAGCTACAGGTAGCGGCATTCTTACTGAGTCAGCTGTAGTATTGTCCTTGATTCTTCATCACGTTATCAACATATCACCATGACCTCTCTATTAAATAACTGACTGTAACTTTCAGGTACAAGTAGGTGATGCGAGAGGCAGCTTGGAAGTAATTCATTTTGATGGTGTGATTTAGTTGTTTTCTTCATCAGTTCCCTCCCGGGCGATTTGTCCTTGGTGTGACATCTGGCTCAGCACTGGGTCCCTTTCTGTTGATCCCCTAGGGGCGGAGTTTCCTCTCTGTCTCAGGGAGGGCATCTGATGGGGAGAAAGGGTAGGCCTCACCTTTTCCATCACATCTGCTCCTGTCTTAGTTCTCTTCTTCAGTGGTGTTCGCAGCCAGGTGTGGAAGCTCAAGTCTTCCTGGGACTCTATGAAATGACCTCCTTTAATGGGTGTACTTCCTTGTGACTCGAGCAGCCACGAAGCAGCAGACCCACCTCCTCTTCCCACCGTCCTTAGAGCCATTAATCACACTTGCAGTGGGGTTCCTCTGAGCTCTGCTCTGTCATGTTCTTTCAGTGTCTGATGGGAAGAGCTTTCCCCAAAACTGCTTTAGGCCTACGTCCTACGTATCTAGAACATGAACTGTGTTTAAAAATGTGAATAGTAGATTTAAGTGTCATTTCCTTTCAGTTGTTTTCTTAATAGTCCATCCTTATTATGGTGGATTCTTTAGTTACAAGTTGGCCCACTCGCAAACGTTTGTAACCCCCACTAGCGGCGCTTTGTGGTCGTTTGCAGACACGCACAGAGATGGGGAAAAGCTCGAGTTGCCGAACGTGCACTTTCCTGACTCCGATGGAGTTAGGCGGTGCTGTCTTCTCGGTTCCCAGACTGCCGCTCTCCTGTTTGCAGTCAGCTTAGTGCCACGTTTTTCCTATTTTTGTGCTTGTCGTTGACTTCAGTGTGTAAAGCGGCCCCCCAGCTGTAGTGCTGACGTGCTGTCTAGTTATCCTAAGTCTGGGATGTTCCTGACGGAGAGAATACAGTTGGTCAGCTTCGCTCAGGCATGACGAATAGTGCTGCTGGCTGTGAGTGCAAAGTGAGGGAGCCAACAGTTATTCAATAAGGTGTCTTTAAATAGAAACACACATGACACAAGGTGATGTACTGATGGGCTGAGAAAAACACTGTGACCAGAGATCCACAGGAACCCCGCATTTCCCCTGGGAGCTAGTTCAGTGTTCACATGACTTGATAGAACAGAACTACCATGAATAATGAGAACTGAGTGTGTTAATGAGTTTTTTGAGGGCAGGCATCTGACGAAAGGGCATCAAGTTGTACAAATGAGACTATCCCTCTGGTTGGTGTCCCTTGTCTCCTTGTGGCCACTTCATCCCTGAGTAGAATAAGTGAATCATTTCTGGTACAGGCTTGGCCTTTTTTTCTTTATCTGTTTTCCTTTCAAAAGCCTCAGATTTCTACCAGCCTCAACTTTGGATTGATTCTGCAAATCATACAGGTTGCGGGTAGGTAAATAATGGTTTCCATTTGCATGCCTGCACCAGGGTACCTCTTAGGAAAAAGAAACCCCCAACACTCAGGCCTCACCCCAGAGATCCTTTTAACCCTGAGCTGCCATGGGACCTGAGACTCGATATATTTAAACGTACCATAGGAAGGACTAAGAATCACTGATTAATGGGATTCAGAGTCTGTATTTCTTCATATAACATTAGTTTCCTTGTCTAAGGTCAGTCACCCATATTTAACAAACCCCCTTCAAGTGAGTTAGAATTTAGTTGAGTATTTAAAAGTACAAAAGAAATTGTTTATAGAAAATATCAGAAAAATGGATCTTCCTGTCTTTTCCCGTCTTAAGGTAGCCATTCTATTTTAATATGGAGTTATTGATAATTCTTGGGTTCTTACCTCTTTTGATTTGGTCCTTTATTTGAATAAGTCAAGCACTAATACATAATTACTTTGTGCCTCAGTCTCCCCATTTTCAGAAGCGAATAAGAATCTTTGTGTTGTCATTTATCAGCTTTGTAATGGATTTTACTGAATGTTTAACCATGTGTTAGGTATTGGGCTAAGCACTTTATATGCATTATCTCATTTATTCTTTTAGATGAAGAATCTAAAACTTAGAGACTTCAGGTAACTTGACCGAGATCACAAGCTCACCAAAATCTAGTAAGTGACAAAGCTGAAGTTATAAGATGTTTTGAGGAATAGGGATAGAGTTCCTCTGTTTAGCATTCTGAGCTTTGCAGAAAATCAAGGGATTCATTAAATTTTGCATGTAATTGTCCTTTAGATTAGAATAAACCTTTAGAATTGAGCAACCTCAAAGAAGCGATTCCCTTGGTGTTGCTGACAGTTATTTGTTGGAGGAAAGATGTGCAACCCTTACACCTTGTTTTCTTGTATTAAATACTCAGCTAAATTCTAACTTACTTGAAGGGGGATTTGTTAAATATGGGTGACTGACAGACAAGGAAACTGTCACATGAAGAAATACAGACTCTTTGAATCCCATTAATCAGTGATTCTCAGTACTTCCTAAGGAAAATTTAAATACATTGAATCTCAGGTCCCATGGCAGCGCAGGGTTAAAAGGATCTGGGATGGGGCCTGAGCGTTGGGGTTTTTTTTTTCCTAAGAGGTCTCTTTGTGCACCCCATGTGAAGCTAGCACTGACAACCACAGCCATGAGCTTTCTGCTTAACACCGATTTTTCACCGTTGAGATAACGGATCCCTTTTATTTTCCTTCTTCTAGATTAAAGATTTCTTGAGCTACATCTGCCCTGTGAATGCATATCCAAATGTCATCCCAGTGGGCACAACTGTGGATAAAGTTTTAGAAATGTGAGTACTCACTACTGTGAAACTTGTGTTGTTGAACGGGATGGATTCAGAGAATAGTCTCGGGCCTGAGAACAAGGGCAAGGACGTGAAGTGGCTGTGGCTGTGAATATGTTTCTGGTTGGGAGCATCATGGCTTTCTTCAAGTGGGTATTTTACGTACATTCCCAAAGGCTTCTGGGAATCTGGCATCAGGAGGCAGAGGCCCTCGACAAAGGGCAGGGTGCCCTCAACTCTTATTTCTGTGCCCTTCTGTGTCTCATCTTCACTGGGTCTTAGCTTTCAGCCTCTAGAATGAGATCAAATTTGTGAGATTCTTGCAAGAGATAAGGAAACCTCATTGAAGAGGAAAGGGGAAGCCGCTAGCTATACTGTATTTCCTGAATGCCAGAAGGGGTCACTGTGTTACTAAGTTTGTAGAACAGGGACCTGCTTTTCTGCAGTGCAGAAGCAGATAGGGGTTCTGCTGTCCCTCAGTCCTGCAGTTAGTTATCCACCAGCACTTCATTAATATACTGAAGTGATTTTTAATTATAAACATTGCTTTTCAGTTTTTAAAAGTAGTTATGTGATTACCCCCATGGTCAAGTTTTTATCTCTCTAAATGATGCTTAGATTCCAAATGAATAAAAATTCATATTCATTTCAGTTTAAAGCCTTTATGCCGATCTTCCCAAAGCTCTGAGCCAAAGTATAAACCGCTGGGGAAACTGAAGAGAGCTAGAACCACCCACTTAGACTCAGGTAAGAATGTCCGTGTGGGCGGAGGTGTGGGGTTTCCAGGCAAGACCGCTTCTCAGGTCTGTGAAAGCTGCCTTGGAGAGTGTCACTCAGACTTGTTCCATGGCCTCGGAAAGTGCTTTGCCTTCTTTCTTCAGCCTGTAAAATCAGGACTTCCATCTCTTTCATAGGTTTAAAACAAGTGCCTGTATTGAAGGGTGTTCTCAGCTTTCTGGAAACATGCCCCATGGTTTTTTCTGGAAACATGCCCCATGGTTTGTATAGGCCATAAAGGCTGTTCGAACATTTTCTTCAAGATACTAGAAAATGCTGATAATGGGAACTTTCCTTGCCCTCATTTCTGATCAGATTGATCCATAGTGCTCATACATAATGGACATGCTCTACACTTTTCTCCCTTCGTTCATTTCCCAGTAAAGAGTGGAGGGAAGGTCTGAGGTGGACATCAGAACTTGGGATTCTGAGTAGTCTGCTGCTTTGTGATTTCGTGCTTAGGAGTCTGGCTTTGCAGTGCTCTGCTGTAGAGCCAGTTAGACCATAGAGCTAATACGTGACCAAACCATAGTAATAATGGTACTATTTACTCAACGCTTACTGTGTGGCAGATGTTGTGCTAGGTCCTTTACACATATTATAGCGAAACCTCAGCACAAATCTACACGGGACATCTTCCCAGTTTTACCAGTGAGCAGACTGAAGCTGTTGGGTGGAGTGTTCTATAAAGGTCAGTTAGTTCAATGTAGTTGATGACGGTCAAGTCTTTTATATCCTGGCTGACTGACTTGTTCTGCCCATGTGCTCTAACCGTGAGTGAGACAGTGGTTGAAATCTCCATTTATAATTGTGGATTTGTGTACTTCTCCTTGCAGTTCTATCACTTTTTGCTTTATCTGTTTGAAGAACTGTTATTAGGTATACACATGTTTAAGATTGTATCCTCCTGAGGAAATGACCCTTTACCTTTAGGAAATATATGTATCCCTGATAGTACGCTTAGCTTTGAAATCTACTTCGTTAGCTATAACATAGCCACTCATTTCTTCTGATTACTGTTATACCATGGTGTATCTTTTTTCCACCTATGTATTTTTTTTCTTTTTTTAAATTAGTTTCAGGTGTACAAAACAGTGTAATAGTTATACTTTTCACCCCTTACAGTGACAACCCCCTCCCCAAATCCGCCACCCCACTCCCAGTATCATACATATCTATTACAATTCCATTGACTCCACTCCTCATACTGTACTCCACATCCCATGACTATATGTATATTAAATTATAGTTGACATACAATATTATTCAACGTCAGCTTCACGTACAGTGCAGCAGTCAGGCCTCTACACTGTCCATGAAATGGTCTCCCTAACAAGACGTGTGACCATCTGACACCCTACAAAATATTTACAACATTATTATGTTCCCCAAACTGTCTTTCATATCCCTGTGGCCATATTGTAGTTACCTATTTATGCCGTCTAATCCCTTCCCCTTCTTCCTCATCCCCACCCCTGTCCCATATTGCAATCGTCAGTTTTCCCTCTGTGTCTCTGAGACTATTTCTGTTTACTTTGCTCGTTCATTCAGTTTTTTAGATTCCACATATAAGTGAGATCATATGGTATTTATCTTTCTCCGACTGACTTATTTCACTTAACATAATAGTCTCTAGGTCCATCCATATCGTCCCAAATGGTATGATTTCATTCTTCTTTATAGCTGAGTAATACTCCATTGTATAAATGTACCACAGCTTCTTAATCCAGTCATCTACCAATGGGCATTTCGGTTGTTTCCAAGTCTTGGCTATTGTAAATAGCACTGCAGTAAATATAAAGGTGCATATATTTTTTCAAATTAGTGTCTTGGGTTTTTCTGGATACCTAAGAGTGGAATTGCTGGGTCATAAGGTATTCTATTTTCAGTTGAGATACCTCCATACTGATTTCCATAATGGCTGCACCAATCTCCAGTCCCACCTACAGTGCACCAGGGTTCCCTTTTCTCCACAGCCTCGCCAGCACTTGTTTGTTGATTTATTGATGATAGCCATTCTGACTGGAGTGAAGTGGTATCTCATTGTGATTTTTATTTGCATTTCTCTAATGATTAGTGAGATTGAACATTTTTTCATATGCTTGTTGGCCACCTGTATGTCCTCTTCAGAGAAATGTCTCTTCATACCCTCTGCCCATTTTTTAATTGGTTTTTTTTTTTGTTGCGTTGAATGAGTGTTTTATAAATTTTGGATATTAACCCCTTACATATATCGTTGGCAAATATCTTCTCCCGTTCACTAGGCTGCCTTTTTGTTTTATTGATGATTTCCTTTGCTGTGAATCCACCTTAACTCCTTTATAATTAAAGTGGGTTTCTTGTAGGCAACATATTTTTGGGTGTTGTTGTTTTATAGCCAATGTGATAATTTCTGCCTTTTTTTTTTTTAAAGATTTTTATTGGGGAATTGGGGGATGGGACCAGCACTGGGGAATTGGGGGAAGGGGAACAGACAAGTTGCTGTCCTTTAGTTCTTCAGTCTAGTTGTGGAGGACGTTGCTTCACTGGCCCAAGTTGGCACCATCATTGCGCTCTTCCCGGGCGAGGCAGATCAGTTGCCGGCTTCTGGACGGCCGCTCACAGCGGCTGCTGGCTACATACGGTAGCCAATGGCAACCCACTGCAGCAGAGGCTGCAGCCTACGCCTTTGCCTCCTGGCAGCCCAGCTCCAGGTTGAGCTGTTGTTCAGCATCTTAGCTGTAGAGGGCAATGTCACTGGCCCTCTGGCGTCCCAAGCTAGCTCTTAACCAGCGTGCCACTCGGCCGGCTCTGATAATTTCTGCCTTTTAATTGAGTGTTTAGACCATTTAGGTTTAATGTGATTGTTGATATGGTTAGATTTAAATTTACCAGCTTGCTGTGTGTTCCCTCTGTTCTTTTATCTCTTCTGCCTTTTGTATTGAGTATTGATAAATTCCATTGAATCTCTTGTTGGCTTATTAGCTTTAGTTCTTTGTTATTTAGTGGTTTATAGTATACACCTTTAACTTATCAAAGTGAAAAGATAAATATTATTCTACTTCAAGTATGGTATCAGAGGCTTACAAAACTATAATTCCATCTCTTCCCATCCCAGTCTTCATGCTATTATCGTCACACATTGTACTTCTCAGAAACTCCACAAATACATTACTTTTTTTTTTTTTGCTTTTAAACTGTCAAATTTCTAAAGCTTTCTTTAAGTATAATTTATATACCATAAATGTCACCCTTTTTGGGTGAACAGTTCCATGACTGTTACTGTAACAGAGTTGTGCAACCATCACCACTAATTTCAGACTTTCCCATTACTCCAGAAAGAAACTGCACATTTACAGTCATCCCCTAAAACCATCTTCAGCCTTAAGGAACCACTCATCTATGGTCTGTCTCTTAGATTTGCCTCTTCTGGACATTACATATAAATGGAACCAAACATTTTGTCTTTCGTGCTTGTCTTTTTTCACTTATATGTCTTCCAAGTCCCTCCATCTTGTAGTATATATCAGTTCTTCATTCCTTTTTACTGCCAAATAGTCCATTGTATGGATGTACATTTTATTTAACCATTCAAAAGTTGATGGTCATTTGGGTTGTTTCTACTTTTTAGTTGTAAGTAATGCTGCAGTGAGTCTTTGTGTATAATTTTTCTATCTGGACACTTATTTTGGGTGGATAACATAGAATTTCTGGGTTACATGGTGTTTTAGTCTGCTTGAGCTGCCATAACAAAGTACCATAGGCTGGGTGGCTTAAATAATAAATTTATTTCTCATAGTTTTGGAGGCTGAAAATTCCAAGATCAAGGTGCTGGCAGAGTGGGTTTCATTCTGAAGCCTCTTCTCTTGGCATGTAGGTGGCTGAGTGCTCACAGGGCCTTTCTTGGGTGCATATGCCTGAGGATGGAGTACAGTGCTCTCTGATGTCTTTCTATAAGGATACTTACTAATCCTGTTGGATCAGGGTCCCACCCTTAATTGTAATTACTTCCTTAGAGGCCTCATGTCCAAATATAGCCACACTGGGGGTTAGGCTTCAACATATGAATTGTTTTTGTGGGGGAACACATTTAGCCCATAACATACAGTAAACGTGTCTTAACATTTGAAGAAACTGACAAACTGTTTTCCAAACTGAATACATTTTCATTCCCACCAGCAATGTGGAAGGATTCCAGTTTCTTCACCTTCTAGTTCACTTTTGTCTTTTTGATTACAGCCATTTTAGTGGATGTAAAGTGATATCTCATTATTGTTTCAATTTACATTTCTCTATTGATGCTGAGCTTTTTTTTATGTGCTTATTGGCCATTTATTGATCTTATTTGGTGAAATGCCTATTCAAATCTTTTGTCCATTTTTAAATTGGATTATCAGTCCTACTGAGTTGTAAGAGTTCTTTATGTAGTCTACATATAAGCCCTTCATTAGATATGATTTGCAAATATTTTCTCCCAGTCTACAGCTGGTTTTTTTTTGTTTGTTTTTTTTAAAGATTTTTATTGGGGAATTGGGGGGATAGGAACAGTGCTGGGGAATTGGGGGGAAGGGGAACAGACAAATTGCTGTCAGTTTGTTCTTCAGTCTAGTTGTGGAGGACGTTGCTTCACTGGCCCAAGTTGGCATCATCATTGCGCTCTTCCCAGGCGAGGCAGATCCGTCGCTGGCTTCTGGACGGCCGCTCACTGCGGCTGCTGGCTACATATGGTGCCCATGGCAACCCACTGCCACAGGGGCTGCAGCCTACGCCGTCACTGGCGACTCATGGCAGCCCAGCTCCAGGTTGAGCTGCTGTTCAGCATCTTAGCTGTAGAGGGCAGTGTCACTGGCCCTCATATGTGGGATCTGAACCGAGGCCCTCTGGCGTCCCAAGCCAATTCTTAACCATTGCGCCACTCGGCTGGCCCTGCAGCTGGTCTTTTTACTTTTATTTTTAGTCTTTTTGTTCTTATTTTCATTGAGCATGTATTA